TTGCGCCACCCTGCGCCAATTCACTTCCCTGCGCCAGCCTGCTCCTAAACGCCAATTTCAACTTTTTTTTTTTTTTTTAAATTTTGCGGAAAACGGTTGGTTACGGGCCACCATGAGGTGTGTACTTTTGCTTAGGTGTCACTGCGGGTGACTCGTACCAACTCGACTGGGGCTCCGAACCATGTCTAACCTCAGGGCGAGGCGTCGATTTTAGTTCATCGAGAGTGCGATGTCGTTTTTTACTACAAAGAGTTTATATACGAACACATCGGTTTGGTTTCGGGCATAGTTGGTTGGCGCGGTTGGAGCGCGCATGCAGTTGCCTGTGGTCCCGATTTGCCGTGATCGTGGGAGTTGGTGCCTCGGCACCGGTGGGCTACCTTGGCCATTAACATGAGCAGAAGTAAGTGGTCTTTACTAGCTTTACCTGTTATTTGGTAGCCTACCATATTTGGACGCTTAGCCGTGAAGAATCGCGAGCACAGGCACATGCGTTCTCGAGCTCAATTTGTCTTGTCAAAACGAAACCAAAACCATCATTGTGTGCGCGAATGTGCACGCTGTCGTGTGTTGTCTACCGCCGTCAAACCACTGGCGAAAACAATACCCGCGATCTTAAGCGAGTTGGTTAATTGGCAGTGCTACACACTTTTTTTGTTTCTTTCCTTTAGCGTGGAGGAGTGGGGGTTACATCAGAAATGCCGTACAACACTCCCGCGCTGCCGATTCCTGTCAAGAACGCACCTTAACTTGCTATAGCCACTCTACTCGTATAAGTTTCTGGTTGGGGGGGGGGGGGGGGGGGGGGTAGGGTAGGGTAGAGAGAAGTTGGTGGGCTTTTTGTCACGTAAGAAGGGAGCCTGCCCCGCAGGGATCAGCGCCTGATCAGCTACATCTCATTTTCAGTCTCGTTCAAACTGTCTTCTCTTAAAGCACTTCTACTGAGTGCACAAGAACTCATAAGCAAGGGTGAGGCAGTTAAGGACATGGACAAGGTGGGGAGTGGACACCTCCTGCTAAGAGATGTGAACTCTAAACTGCCCAAAGTACTCGAGCGCATAAAAGAAATTGACTCTGCTCTTCAAACTGTGAAAAAAAAGGTGAACTTCAGTTGTATCTAAATTACACAGATTCAGCTTAGTCACAACCCTTTTTTTTTAACATGGAGCCTGTGGGCTCTTCTAGTCAGTGTTTATGCTGCAAATGTATTAGTGGCTGTGATATTTTTAAGACAATATATTTTTCCATCCAAAGTAATTAGATATAGCTTTGTATGTTAACTTGGGTGTAGGGATTACTGTATTTTATGAACAGGGATTAAGAACATTTGTATTTAATGAAAACAGGTCAGCAAGGACTGCTTTATTCTGAAACATGTTGTGGTACCTTAGTTTTTTTTTTATGGAGACACGCAATGCACAGCATTTTATGGAGTACATAAGGTTGCGTTGCTCTTCTAGTCGATGCTTAAAGCTGCATATGTACGAGTGACTGTGGTAGTCTAAAGATATAAAATACACATTTTATTTTGCATCTGAATTTTTGTCATATGTCAGTAGCCTTGTATTTTGTTACTAAACTTGATATAGGGCTTTTTAAGTAGTGATTGAACATGTGTATTCTTTATTAAACAAAAAGTGTAGTCAGCGAAGGTAGTTTATCTGACACCTTGCAGTGGTTTAGTTTTCTGGATACATGTTTACAATTGGTCTATTAAGTAGACGGTTTTGTACTGGCGTGGCTCAAGTTAGGCTTTTATTGTCGGGGCCTCCCATATAAAGTCTATCATGACTCTGCCTGCTGCCGGAATGGTTCTCAAAGCCTTTCCTTTGCATAAATTGCCAATATTCCATATTTCAATGCAATAGAAATAGAAAAATGTGTATGTATGTTGCTTGAAAATTATTCTGGGATGTGCATGCATATATTTTTGCTACATTTTCACATTTAGAAACAACAAATCACTTTTAGACATTTGTTTGACCTCCGTGACCTGCTCCAAAACCTACTTCTACGGCTACAAAACTTATTTTTGCTGCTCCCGAGCTGCTCTAAAGCGAGCGTTTTACTGCTCCAAAACTGCTCCAAAGTGGGACTTTTGCTGCTCCCAGCCCTGATACAAAAGGCTCTAGCCCGCTTCCACCCCTGATCCCATCAAATGGCAACGTACGAATTTGAATGCCGCGATGGAAGGGCACCAGGAGAAGAAAACAAGCGGAAGCAGGGTTTTATTTCTTGATATATTCACCTTTAAAAATCTCAGCTTTTATTCATATTCATGTTTGTGGTGGGCGATTCAGACGAGCCAAATGTACTGTTATCCCACATTGCACGAACGTTTTACTACAACCTCACACGTTTCGATCTAACAAAGTCTCTTGTTCGAACTGGACTACAGTTGCTTCCCAATGCTGCTTTCCGCAAGACGAGCAAGTGAAGAAGAGGGTAGCGCTTTTGGAAGGTCAGTCTTGAAAACTACAAGTCCTCCTTCGTTGAAGGTTAGATTCGTTGTTCAGTTTGAAGGTGGGGGACAAGGGGAAAAGGAATAAAGGTTAAGGTTTGGTTATGTTGGTAGGGATACAAGGGTGCATTCGCTGTCTGGTAACCTGGTCTTTTCTTGTAACTGTAGTTCTCTTTGTGGAAGTTCAGTGATGGCTGTAGTCGGCCTTAGATTTCTGGGTGTATGAGGATTCGTGTGAGCGAAGAAAGTAGCTGAGTTTGAAACGTCCCTCTTTCTGTTTTTGCTTTTTTTTTTTTTTTGCTTCAGCTGAAAGTTTTGCTTTTTGTACCGCAACCTCGGGCACTGAAAATAAGGCAATGTCCACTAGCCCTCCTGCACCCGACTGTTACCAAGCGAGGACCGCATAAAATATTCCCTACGATAAGTAACCAAAAATTTAACAAGATCCTGCTCTTCGTAAAGATATTATTTTTATACTTTCAGAATTTCCCTTTTTTAAATAAGATAAAGATTACCCACTGGATAAAAAAGAGGAACGTCGTTCCTTTTTCCGTTCCAGTAAAAATGTAACGTGTTCCCGTTCCAGTTACAACGTTTTCCGTTCCAGTTACAACGTTCCAGTTACAATGTTTTCCGTTCCAGTAAAAATGTAACGTGTTCCCGTTCCGTTCCGTTCCAGTCGATGCAAAATGGAACGGCAGCGTTCCTTCGTTCCTCGTAAAAGGAACGCGTTCCACGAAAACGAAGCAAGAGAGAGATAAGACTGCTCCTGCGCAATGTTGTACGGAACGGCGTTCCAGGAACGCCGTTCCGTACAACACTGCGCAGAAGCAGTCTTATCTCTCTCTTGCTTCGTTTACCACACGATAGATGGCGCATGGCTCCGAGCATTATAAAATTCGGCAATTTCCGTCACATCGCTGATTATGCTGCAAAATCTGAGCCAGAATATTTGTTAACAACACTTTGAAGAAACATTCGCCGGTTATATACTGTTTATGATCGCGGTGCTGGTGAGGAGGCTCTTATCCAATAGGCGACGTGGATTTGGCTGACGTGCATTGGCACCGCGGATGAATCGCAGTGAAAAGGCAGATAGCTTTTGAAGGAAAGAAGGCATAAAAGAGTCCGCTTTTCTTTTGAAAGTTCTATAGCGAAACATTTTTTGGCTGTCTACTTTTGTGTTTTGGTTTTCTTTTCACACCTTTTACGACGTATGGTGGATGAAATTCGATTTAAAACTCGTTTCATGGTGCCTTTAAAACGCATTAAAAAATCTGTTCTTTTTTTTTTTTTTTGGAATGGGCGGTTATGAATTTGTGCACGTATATTCCATGTCCTGATCGCAGCCACTCCGGGGCGTTTCTTGGATAGTCCTTCCTGAGAGGTCCGTGGGGAAGTCTGGTGCACATCAGCTTCGGGACGTGGAACGCCCGCACATTTTTTGAAATGTCCCCTGGACGTTCGGTGTTGTCTGGGTTACCGCCAACAGCGATACAAACGTGGTTGAACCATAGCCGCCTGACTGAACGAGTCGCTTCGCGGGAACTACCCTATATTTATTCATGTCTCCTCCGGCACACGCCGTCAGCACTCGACACTACGAAGGGGGGATCGGTGGCCGAGTGGGCTGAAGCGCACACCCAGCTTGACGCGCGTGGAGCGAAAGCTCGCGCTGCAGAGCCCAGGGATCCTGGGTTCGAGCCCCACCCCTGCCCGTTTCGATCTGGATGAGCATCGTACCGGCGTGCAGTCGTGTATCACTACTGCGTGGTGCACGTTAAAGACCCAGGCTAGCGGTTGTACTGCACTGGCTAAATTGCTCATCTACAGCGTGTGACTCGTCCGCAACATTAATGGCAGACCAACTACACGCTGTATAAATATCCCCACAACCCCAATTATTATTATTATTATTCGACACCACGAAGGGCTACATAGGGAGTGTCTTTAGGTCAATTCAATGTTTATTTGAGGAAGTGAATAATTTGTTCTTATATTCTATGACCGGCTACCCTAAACTCAAAAGAATGTATAGAATGTGTGATAGATGAATTACAATGTTAAAATCTGTGCACAATGAATAAGGCATTCCCTTATACATATGTAGCGGTCAAACGATGACCATAGGCATGTTCGGCGCTCCAAGGCACGTCACAGTGATGCATCACCGGGTGACATGTGCGCGGCGTGGCCCATATCCCGTGTCCGGTACGCGCCACGCCGCGCACGTCACCCGGTGACGCATCACTGTGACGTGTCCTAGATCGTCACATATGCCTATGGTTATCGCTTGACCGCTACACCTAGAAAGAGCGACTCCACTCTGAGACAGAAATTCGTTTGTTATTTGACCGCTGGGCACACTGCAACAAATAGTGGAACCACGCTTAGTTTTACCTTTGTTTGGCGCACAGCGAAGGTTGCGAACGCGAGAATCAAAACCTTGAAAGGCACTGTGCGTTCTCGCTCGTGAAATGTAACATGTTTTGTTTATTTATTTACCTGTTTTATCGCTTCGTGTTTCTTTTCATTGCAGGTGTCTCAGCCCACGGTCAAAGTACTTCTACGAGCCCTGCCCCTTCTCCGCTTCCGGTGAGTTTCGGCGGAGATTTTAGTGCACTCGGTCCTGCTCAAGCGAGTGCCGTCTTCCACACAGCAGATGATCCTTACACGTTCCTCTGGTGGAATCAGAAGCGCACATATGTTTCCCCGTTCGCCAGTGGCGGACAGTGCAGCGCCCTTTTCCGCTATTTGTATATCAACCGTATATCAACCGTATATCAACTATACGGTATATCAACTATATCGGTTGATATCAACCGTATATCAACTATACGGTATATCAACCGTATATCAACTATACGTATATCAACTATACGTATATCAACCGTATATCAACCGTATATCATCAACCGTATATCAACTATACGGTTGATGGCCTTCTCCAGTACTTGACTGATAGGCCGTTCCGGAAACTAAAATGAAATGGAATAGACGGTTTATTGGTGCCTCGAACAAGCGGTCGCGCTCCGGCGTGGTTTGCAGGTGAAGACCCTGCTAGAGGCGGGTGCCGAGTCCGCTCAGCTCGAGGAAGCTAAGGACCGATCGTAACAGCTTGGGCCTTCTATCAGAGTGCCCCCGTCGGCTTTGTCCAGGATTCGAGGTCTCCGGGCCGGTCTTAGGAGACGATGTCTTCCTGCAGGCACGCTTGCGAGGAGTATCGTGTGCCTTACATTCTCACAGGCTGAGACGAAGCTTAGGCGGGACGGACTCATCACAGTATACGGGCATCGTGGGTCGGGCGGCACGTAGTCGAGTCCTGTCTTGCTTTGGCGTTCTCCCACAATTGCAACAGGTGAGGCGTCGTCGCGCCGCCGGTGCGGACGCGTCTCAGCAGAACCGTCTGGTATCTTTTGAAACTATTGGGATTGGGGTCGGGTTCCTGTTCGAGGCAGGACTTGAGCTGCTCGGCCCGTGTCCTTCGGATGTGTCGAAGTGGGGCTTCGGGATCGTGCTTTTCCCGGTCTTCATCGAAGCTTTCGTCGTTACTGACTCGTGGTATGGTGTTTTTTTTTACAAGAGTGGGTCGTGTCTTGATAGTCCGTGAACACATAGATCTTTTTGCGTGGGTCCTCAGTCTCCAGGACGTCCATGAGCGCCGCTCGGGCGGCTTGAACTTCGGCCTGCTCTAGTGAGCGAGGTCTGGCGGGATCCTTCTTGTTTCGCCACCCATAACGTGGAAGGCGATGGCGGATCGAACGAGTTTTGTTGACGCGTCAATGTAGATGATGAGGGCTTACGCGTGTCCTCGGGAAGTGTCTCCACTCTTCTGGAGTGCTTCTTGGCAAATTTTCCTCTCCGTTCCTCGAGCTTGAGTGCCATGTTCTTAGGAAAAAGAGTCGACTGCGCGACATCGATCAGTTCCCACGGCGGCTGCGAGTTCGGGATGTGTAGATCGTGGTTTGGCCCGTGAGTTTTGTAAGGGCCCTACCCCGTGGCGTTTATTCGAATCTCGCTGGTGAATTTCAACTTGTTCGGCGAGGTTGTCACGAAAGTCGGAAAATGTAACGCGTTCGCGCACTTCCTCGAGCTTGGTATGTCTGGGCAGGCCGGCAACTGCCCGTAGCGTCGTTGAGCAACGAGTCCAGCTTGTCCCAGTGGCGTTAAATGAGGCGATAGAGTCGTAGTCCGTACATTACCTTCGAAATTAAGGCCGAGTGTACCAGGAGCTTTTCCACTCTCTCGCCCGCACCGAGCGTCCGGTGCGCGATGCGTCGGACGAGTTGAAGGTCCTTTTTCCGCGACTTTGTGGCGATTTGGAGCCATTGATTGGGGTTGTTGCTGCTCTCTCAAGAAGGACGCCAAGCCCTTTAATCTCGTTGGCCCTGTCGGTTGATGTTTAGTCGAAAGTTACGCGTGCGGTTCTCGTTCTGGTTTCCCCTGCCAAAGATCATATACTGTTTTTATTTTTATTATTACTTTTTTTTTTTTTTCAGGCGACGGGCGAAGCCTGACCTCCCTGAGGTCGTTCTCAATGACTCGCGAGGCCCTTCTGTAGGACGATCTGTCGTGTTGAGAGGGTTCATTCTCTGGCCCTCACAGTGATGTTGTCGGCGTACGCGGTGAAGTACAGACCTTCGACTTTACGTAGTTTTCACAGAAGCGGCGCCATCGCCAGATTAAACGGGACCGGCGACCGGACTCTTTAAAATGCCAACGCCATTGGGGCGTGTAGAGCTGGTGTTACGGCCGACCCTGACGGCGTACCTCCTCTCCTGGCTACAGTAGTGAGTTTTAGTATTGCGTATAGGAGCAAACACAAGCACTGCGTGTTAGCGTTGCGTGCTCCACGCTGCGCATGCGTGTCGTCGCCATGAGCCAATCCAAAACGCAGTTTGGGTTCCCGCACACGCGCAGTGTGGAACCTTCAACTCTAACGCAAACGCAGAGTGCCTGCGTTTTGCTCCTATGCGCAATACCAAAATTCGCTAATACGAAAGAGAAAAATAATTTTCCGCTAGGATATGATGGCTGTAGCAGTGGGTGTGGCCGGCGACCAGCTGTCATGAAAACAATGACTTCGTCGCTCGTTATTTTTAATTTTTTTTTTAATCTGCGTTTTTTTTTTTTTTTTTTTTTTTGACACGGATAAGATGTCTTTGCCTGCAAGCTGACGAAGTCTAATTGCGTCATATGTAGCAAAACTGAAGGAGAAATGGAGATGAGAGCTTGCGGTGACGTCCGAGTACCGAACTCTGGCGTAGTGGAGGATCTACGCCGGAAAAAAGAGTGCCGCCTGCTCCTCGTGCAGGATGTGGTGTTCGAGCGTCAGACTCCGCGCTAGGAGCACACGTCGCTCTTGTTCGCTCTGATTGGAGGGAGACGGTGAGTAGAGAGACAAAGGCAGGGAGCCTTTCCCTCTAACACTAATCATTCCAATCAGAGGTCGGCGCTTTGACGCCCATTGCACGCTCTCATCTGCTTCTCTCCGTATGGGCAAGGTGGGCCTAAGGTTTCAATCGAAACGTTCGGTGGTCATAATATATTCGTCGGAGCGTACCTTCACTGATTTTGCGCGTAGGGCTCCAAAGTGTCATTTTATTTTTATTTTATTAAACATATAAATAAAAGAGGTATCTTCGTCTCTCTCGTCGGTGCGAGTGCGCCGATCGTTGGGGTTCTCTCTCTTTCTCCGGGTGTCCTCCTCCCTCCTGCTTGGCGGTGGCTCGCTCGGCCGCTCTGCTCCTTGCTTTTTTTTTCCTTTGTGGCGTGTAGTGCGGCGAAGCGTGGCTTCAAGGGTGGCACCTGTGGCCTCGACTGCTGGCGCCACCTCTCGAGTCGGAAGAGCAACAGCGCGCGTTGCCTTCCCTCTTTCTCTTCCGCTGACCCTTCACGTCTGGTGACCTGCGGCGTCAAAAAAGGAAAATAAAAAGGGAGGGGGGTATCAATATTATTTAACCGCTTTGTAAACAAAACGGGGGAGGAAAAGCTCGCTCGCCCCTTCACCACCACCACCGCCGTCGGCCCCCCTCTGTTGGCGGCGACTTGTCTTTGTGGGGCGCCACGCTCTCCTGTGCCAAGATAAAGTAGAACTCTTGACTACTTTTCGCACCACAGTTGTATATGTGCATGTATGCATGTATGTATGTACGTGTGTGTGTGCGTGCGCGCGCGCGCGCGCGCTCGCGCCAGGGTGTGGGGGGGGGGGGGGGGGGAGGGGGTTACGACGGGAACAAGTAGGAATGACCCCCAGCATGGTACGATGACGTCACCTGCAATCCGTGTAGCTGTCACGTAGCCAGGGGGGGGGGGGGGTGCATAGGGCCGGCCCCCCCCGCCCCCCCCCCCCCCCCGAAATCTTCCATTTTGCTGGGACCTACTCTCCCTCCTCCCCCTCATACAGCACTTTGTCATGCCCCCCCCCCCCCCCCCGAAACAAAATCCTGGCTACGTGCCTGCCGTGTAACCTCTTACCGCTCATTCACACTGGAAGCGTATCCGCGTTCGCGAAGCGGTTGCGAACGCGGATCCGCTTCCAGTGTGAATGAGCGGTTAGTGTCCAAGATTTGGGGAAAGTAACCGTTGCACGTGCAAACAGCTTAAACGTTCAAGCGTCCTTCCGTCGGCAAATGATTCCGAAGACGAGGGGAGTCGGATCGCGTAGAGACACGCGTGGGGGGCGAAAGCGGTGCCGGCCCCGTGGCCCCGGTAAAGGGGACTTTCGGACGGTTATCGGCTGGCACGGGCTGGCGTACGCGGAAGTCCAACCACCACCTCGAGTCGGGGTTTCTCGGTTTCCGTGTCTACCGATCAGACGACAAGAGCAGTACGCTGTCGGTTATTGCTTCCCCGGGTGGGGTGGTGGCTTTTCAACCGAGATAGCTCGCTAGCTGAAGCTGGGCGTCGATTAAAAAGAATGAACCCGATTAATGGTCACCCTTTATTCGTTTAATTAATCGGTTTCGGTAATTCCCATGCATTTAAATATATATATATATATATATATATATATATACACATACATACATACATACAGAGAGAGAAAGAGGGGAAAAGGACAATTTTTTTTTTTCTTTTTTCCTTTGGTGAATATGTGATAAACGGCGCAATGTACAGTTTCGCATTTTAAATCAATCTTGATGCGTAGTCAAAAAGAGTCAACAGACACACAGACTCACAAAAATATTACCTTATCCGCAGAGGCAAAGAGGTTCGTTGGTATACTCCGGCAATTAATTGTTCACAATACTTTCTGCTGCGATAAACGGACACTGGCACGACCTTCAAGTGATTGGAATACGTGTAACCTTCTCCACCTTGTCTGGAGTTACAAATCTCACCCCTACGGTTTACTTTAGATCAAAACTTCCCCTAAAGCTTGCCTTCATACAGGTATACTCGTCCACGTCCGCGTAGGGAAAGCGTTGCATTTTTACTTTTTTTGTTTGTTCGTCAAAATTTAACCGATACACCGTTTAAACAAATTTATCGCGATTAAAGCATTACTCGATTAATTTATAGGTCAATCGATCAAAAGCCCATCCCCACGTCGCTATTGATTCAGACCAAACATCGCGCATTCGAATGAGGGA